ATATAAAAAAAAAAAAAAATCTGGTGGAATGGGCGGAGGCGGTGTTCAAACCAGCGGTTCCATTTCTTGGAAGCCCGCTCTCGGTTCCTAATCTGAGCGGCCCGCCTCGGTTTCCACAGAAACAGTTTCGCCCGCCAATAAATGTCACCAGCAGTGCCGCCTCACGTGATCATTCGCCTGCGCCGGAAGTGAGCGGCGCGGCGCCGGAAGCAGCGGTCAGAGGCAACCTCGTGGAGGAGAAGGCGGCATGGGGCGGCCCAAGCGGGTGAGGCGCTGCGGCCGCCGAGGCGGGAAGTGTGGACGAGTCCCTCGCGGAGGCCGCGTCCTTCACCTCTCGCTTCTCGCCCCCGCAGTCCCGGCACCAGAAGCGCGCACGCGCCCAGGCGCAGCTCCGCAACCTCGAGGCCTATGCCGCACAGCCGCACTCGTTCGTGTTCACGCGGGGTCGCGCTGGTCGCGGCGTACGGCAGCTTAGCCTGGACGTGCGGCGGGTAATGGAGCCTCTCACCGCCACCCGCCTGCAGGTCGGCAGCATCCAGCACCCCGCCACCCACCCTTGGCCCCGTACTGCGGTCCTGGCATCCCCCACGGAGCCGCGCGAGGCCTCAGTCTTCCGGAATGGAGAAGGGGCATCTTTTGGGGAGCATGGCCCCCGCCTTGCAGGGCTTTGTGTGGATGCGGCGAAGTTGCCCGGATTGAACGCACCTAGCTTGAGGCTTGACTGTGCCTAAGCCTGGTGGTTAAGAATGTCCTCTCAAGTTGACAAAGCTGGGTGGGAGACTTGGCTTCTCCCAACATTTTCGAACAAGTTACTTGACATCGCTGCCCCCATGTCTGTAAAATGTTAAATAGTGAGCAGGTGGCAGAGGCAGAATTCAGATTCATATCCGATTGGCTGTAGGGCCCAAGAGTGTCAGACTTCTGGGCTGGTTGGAAGAGTTAAATGCAAGAAATGGCATAACATGATCTCTGAGTGGCAGCTTGTTGCTTAATAAGAGATACTACTCATTGTTCTACTTTGCTCTCTTTAATCTTCAGGTTCGGAAGAAGAACTCGCTGAAGGACTGTGTGGCAGTGGCTGGACCCCTCGGTGTCACACACTTCTTGATCTTGAGCAAAACAGAGACCAACATCTACCTTGTGAGTGGAAGCCCACGCCCCTCACCTCACCCCCCAGTTCCCTGCCTCCCCAGTTCTCATGATGAACCCACGTGCCTCTGAGCTGCCATGATTCTGGCTTCAAAGTAAACGCTCTGAAGAGATGGGGCAGATTCTTGGGCTTCCTGCTCCCTAGCAGGACCTCCCCACCCTCACGGGCTCCTTTCTTCTGCAGAAGCTGATGCGCCTCCCAGGAGGGCCCACCTTGACCTTCCGAGTCAACAAGGTGAAGCAGGAGTGGGGGTGGTACGAGGACTGTGTGGGGCAGGAGTCGAGCTTGAGGGGTGGCCCCAGGCACACATAGTTGGCAGTCACCACTCCTTACTCTGCCCTGCAGTACACACTGGTGCGTGACGTGGTCTCCTCGCTGCGCCGGCACCGCATGCATGAGCAGCAGTTTGCCCACCCACCTCTCCTGGTGCTGAACAGTTTTGGCCCCCACGGCATGCACGTGAAGCTCATGGCCACCATGTTCCAGAACCTGTTTCCCTCCATCAATGTGCACAAGGTGAACTGAGTCTGGCATGACAGCAGGTGTGGGTGGATGGGGCGGGCAGGAGACACCACTTGCCTTTGGATGGATCACTGGGGCCTCACTTCGTAGCACGAAGGCTAAGAGCACCCACTTAAGGCTGCACTGAGTGTTGAGGTCAAATCCCACCACGTGTTCTGTGACACTGGGCAGGAGGCTACCCAGCGAGCCCACCTCCTCATCTGGCAGCCGGAAAACAATGCTGAAGATGCTTTGGTTTCGTGAGCATGCGTCAAGCACTGGTCTGGGCAATGTAGTGCATGTTGTCGCAACCCTACATTACAAAGAGAAAATGAGATTGACTGAGACAAAGTTGCTTATCTGAGGTTAGATGCTGACCCCCAGGTACCCAGTGGGCCCAGATTTTAGTCACGGCTGCAGCAGCCCCCATGGTGCTAGCAGCACCTACCTTGCTGCCAGGCTCCTGGACGATGCGGTGTGAGGTGAGGCTTGCCTGGTCTTGGGCTGCAGCACACGTGAGGCCTGTGCAGCTCACGTGGCACCATGCCCCTCCCCCTCCTTCCCAGGTAAACCTGAACACCATCAAGCGCTGCCTCCTCATCAACTACAACCCCGATTCCCAGGAGCTGGATTTCCGGCATTAGTGAGTGCGGGGGGCTGGGGAGGGCAGGGTGCCTGTGGCTTCGAGTGCGGCTGATGACGACATTGCTGCTGAGACTTTGTGATTGCTAAGTCTCAAAGTAAACGCTCTGACGCCCTCTGGAAGGAGTGGGGGGTCTGACTTCCCACGTCACCTCCCCTAACGCCCTTCCCTGCACACTCCGGCCCTACAGTAGCATCAAAGTCGTTCCTGTGGGCGCAAGTCGCGGCATGAAGAAGCTTCTTCAGGAGAAGTTCCCCAACATGAGCCGTCTGCAGGACATCAGTGAGCTGCTGGCCACGTGAGGAGGGCTCAGGGTGGGGGAACCACAGTCCAGGGGACCCCAGAGCTGTCCTGGGAGCCTGGGAGCCCCTGCTGAGCCCCAAGTGTCCCCTGCACAGGGGCGCAGGGTTGTCAGAGAGTGAGGCAGAGCCCGATGGCGAGCACAACATTACAGAGCTACCCCAGGCTGTTGCTGGGCGAGGCAACATGCAGGCCCAGCAGAGCGCCGTGCGGCTCACTGAGGTGAGACCCAGCCTGGGTGGGCCTTGGGGTGAGGGTGATTTTCTAGACAGCCCCCAGCCCCCAGGAAGCACCGAGGCTTTCTCCACGCCCCCCAGATTGGTCCTCGGATGCTGCTGCAGCTCATCAAGATCCAGGAGGGTGTCGGAGAGGGGAACGTGTTATTCCACAGCTTCGGTGAGCATGGGCTCGGGTTGTTGGGGGAGGGCTGCGTCTGAGACCATCAGAGAAGAGTTGGGAGGCGCTGTGGGCACGTGGGACTTGGCAACCATTTACTTCCCACTCAGTGCACAAGACAGAAGAGGAACTGCGGGCTATCCTGGCAGCCAAGGAGGAGAGGCTGCGGCTAAAAGCCCAGAGGCAGGAGCAGCAGGCCCACAATGTGCAGCGCAAGCGGGAGCAGCGAGAGGCTCATAAGTGTGTGGTGGGGGAGGTGGGATGGGGCCAGGGCCCAGGTGCAGGCTGATGCACTGAGGGACACCCCCTCCCCCAGGAAGAAGAGCGTGGCGGGCATGAAGAGGACACGGGCAGAGGCTGGCGGAGACAGCGATGCAGAGGACCCCGGGGCTCCACCAGAGGCAGAGGGGACTGGCCCACCTGAGGAGGAGGAGGATGAAGCCGAGTATTTCCGCCAGGCAGTGGGCGAGGAGCCTGATGAGGGTACGTGATGGGTCGGTGCATCAGGGCATTGAGGCAGTGTGCCCCTGGGCGCTGAGGCCCTGACCCTTCACTCCCTGCAGACATGTTCCCCCGGGTGGTGAAGCGGAGACAGACAGCCAGGCCGCCACATAAGAAGCAGCGGGTAAAGAAGGATCGGAGGCCAGACCGAGGTGGTGACTGGAGGCCTCCAAAGCACAAGGACGGTTCCCGAGGAGCCCAGGCCAAGCTTGGGCCCAGAGGGGCTGCCCGGGGCCGCACACAGCGCCACGCACGGCCACCGAAGAGAGCCTGAGTCCTAGCCAGGTGGAATGCCCCAAATTGGGGTCCTGAGATGCTGCGCTGGGGCTCCCACCAGGCTCCAGGTCAGCCTTCTGTTTCCTTTCGTAAAGGAGCATTTTCCCTAATTTCACCCGCACAATAAATGATTGATAGTTGCCATGAGTCTCTCTGGGAAGTTGAGTGGGGGGTGTCCACAGAGGCCTGGGGCAGCAGCACCTGGGAAACTGACCGGTTTCTGCCCCAAGCCTGAAAGAAATCATTTTACAGATAAGGGTGGTGACAGGTGAGATCTCACCAGTCTTGTGGCTCAGGGTACTGTGCCCCTCCCCAGAGGCCACAGGTCTCTTGCTGGAGGGCTGAGACCCGGAGGTGTGACCTGCTGCTAGCGGAAGGGAGGGAGGCAGGCGGTGCCCCAACCCGCTCTGCAGGCTGAGGGTGGAGCCCCTGGGGAGGGAGGAGCTAGCCTCACTGCTGGTTACTCAGAGGAGCCAGGGACAGCGTGGGGCGTGGACCTGGACATGGGCTCTGCAGCAGCTGGTGAAGGTGAGTGCTGTGTGGTTGGATCAGGGAACGTGTCCACCTGGCCCCGCAGTGGGGCTGGCAGCTCCTGGAGGTGGCGGTGTGATGGGATTGCACAGATTGTCTAGACAACCACTTCCTCCTAGAGCCCCACAGCCAAGCGATGGCATTGACAGGGCGGAGGGCTGGTTTCAGGGCTTTGTGCATGTCAGAGTTGAGTACATGAGAGGAAATGGACTCCAGGGCTCAAGCTCCCACACACTTGTGTTCTGGGCACTGGGGGAGTGGGAGTGAGGAGACCTGCCCTTCCCCTCCCAACTCATGAAGCACAGATCCTAGCAGGGGTGTTTGTGAGGAAATGAATATGGATTTTCCTTAGTGACCAGATAGGGAAACGAGCAGGAAAAGGGAACAGGAGAGTTCCTGGGTAGAGCTACAACCTGAGGGTGATCAGAGCAGACCTCTTCCAAACCGGATTAGAGACCTGGAGGAGGTGGGGGAGGGTGCCCTAAGGCAACTGGGGCAGAGGGAAGAGCCAGTGCAAAGGCCCTGAGGAAGGAGCTTGCCTAAGGAGCAGCCTGGGACTGGTGTGGCTGTAGGCAGTCGTGCAGAGCGGGGGAAAATGAGAGGAGGAAGTGGGAGGAATGCGGTCCCCAGACGGGACATGGCAGTGACTAGTGAGGAGAGCGCCATGAGGGTCTGAGCAGGGAAGGGTCACCTCACAGGCACAAATAGTGGAGGGTGGAAGCTGAGGATGTGGGGTCAGCACCAACCGATGGGACAGTGAGGTCTAGGCCAGTTTCTGAATAGAGCTGGTGGCACTCAGGTTGGGCTGGGCATCTGTGAGGACCCTAGTGTCAGGGCCACCTCATCCCTGGGCACCGCCTCTAGGCTCCTGCTACTGTATCCTAGGCTTGCTGGGTGACATGCTTCTGGTGAGCACAGTGACCCTCTAACTTACCCCAGCAGGCTCTTAGGGTGCAGGACCCAGGAAGGGCCTAGTGGTGTCAACTGAGGGAAGTCTCTGGTTTGGGACTTAGAACCTGTCTGGGCCTGGGTTTCTGGCTCTAATGAGACACTGGAGCCCCTTCCAGGGCGTGGATGTGGCAAGATGCAGGCAAAGGGCTCTGGGAAGCCCCAGCACTCAGTAGGTGTGAAGGACAGGTCCCGCTGCAGATGGGCTGGGTGGCCAGAGCCACGCAGAGGCAGAACACGGCTCACTCCCTGACACCCTGTGCCCACAGGTGTGCCATCCTGCCCACCCAACTTCTTGACAGCTGCAGAAACGGTCCTCAACAGTATCCAAGAGGACTTTCTATGGCCCGTGTTGGTGGCCGAGTTCCTAGTGGCCACGACCGGCAATGGCCTGGCCCTGTACCGCTTCATTACACGGGAGCAGCGCCCCTGGCACCCAGCAGTGGTCTTCTCGGCCCAGCTGGCGATCAGCGACCTGCTGTATGCCCTGACCCTGCCTCCACTGGCTGCCTACTTCTACCCGCCCAAGAACTGGCGTTACGGGGAGGCTGCGTGCCTCCTGGAGCGCTTCCTCTTCACCTGCAACCTGTTGGGCAGCATCATCTTCATCACCTGCATCAGCCTAAACCGCTACCTGGGAATCGTGCACCCCTTCTTCACCCGCAGCCACCTGCGGCCCAAGCACGCCTGGGTGGTCAGCGCTGCTGGCTGGGCCCTGGCGGCCCTGCTTGCCGCACCCAAGTTCAGATTCTCTGGCCTGAAGGAGTGTACCAATGGGTCGGCAGCCTGTTTCAAGTGTCTGGGTACAGCGGATAACAGCCATCTCGAGGCATATTGGGCCTACAGCCTGGCCCTGGCTTGCCTGGGCTGTGGCCTGCCACTGCTGCTCACCCTGGCAGCCTATGGGGCTCTGGGCCGGGCCATGCTGCGCAGCCACAGCATGAAGGCGGCTGAGAAGCTGCATGTGGCAGTGCTGGTGGCCAGCGGCGTGGTCCTTTATGCCACCTCCTATGTGCCCTACCACGTCACGCATGTGCTCAACGTGCACGCCCGCCAGCGCTGGAACGCCCAGTGCCCAGACTTTAGGAACGAGGCCCAGGCCCAGGCGGCTCTGGACAAGCGGTCCTACGTGGGCTACCAGGTCATGCGGGTGCTCATGCCCCTGGCCATCTGCATCCACCCACTGCTCTACATGGCTGTGGTGCCCAGTCTGAACTGCTGCTGCCACGGCTGCCCTAGATGCAAGAAGGAAAGAGCCCCAGCGGTCCCCGAGATCCCCATCCAAGCACTGCCCCTTAATGTAACAGCCACCCCTGAGACCTCGAAGCCCTGAGCCGATCCCGTGATCTGGCCTATCAAGCTTCTGCCTTGCCACAAGGCGCTGAAGGCACAGCTGCCACTTCCCCCAAAGGCCTGCGGTCAGGCAGGTGAGAATGGTTAGAGCCAAAGCCACTCAAGCGCGTTTCCTGTTTGGCTCAGTACAGACCCAGGGCAGCTAGCCAACCCGTGGTGGGGCGGGGAGGGGGCTGGCCCCACATGCTGAAGGAAAGAGGGGCTGGCTCTGCACGCCGTAGTGGGAGGCCCGGCAGGCACAGGACGTGGCAACTGAAAATAAACGGAGCACATGCAGGGTGAGCTGAGTATCTTTTATTGTCCTTGGAGTCCTGCTTTTGGAAGTTGCTTCCTGCTGCCAGAGGTGCCAGGGCCAGGGCCAGAGGTCCCAGGGCCAGGGCCCGAGCAGCAGCCATGGCGGCAGCTGGCTTAGTTGGTTGATGGCCTGGGAAGGGAAAGAAGAGGTAGGTAGGAAGGTCGTGTGGGGACTTGGGACCCTGAAGCGAATCCCAAGATCCTCTGCACTGACTGGAGCCGGGGCGGGGGCGGGGGGCACGTACAGCACAGGAGCCAGACTGACGGACAGGTCACTAGGCTGACGGCCTTGTGCCCCTCTGAGAGAGAAAAAGGATCATAAACGGACACAACACAAACAGGCCACGAGGATGATTACGTTGAAGCTGAGCCCACAAAGGCCCAAGTATCCTCTGCAGCCACTGTGACAAAGGTGGGGGAGGGAGGACAGGGAACGTGGCAGGGCAGGGGTCTTACTTGGCCCACTCGACGTTGAGGATGAGGTGGTCATAGCCAAAGCCGGACACCCCAGCAATGGCACGGGCGGCGTCCTCACGGCGGTGAAAGCTGATGAAGGCAAAGCCCTGAGGGGAAGAACGAGGTCAGGCAGGCTCGGGGCTGAGCCGAGGCAGATGACCGGCTGCCCACTCCTGTGGCTCCAGCCCACCTTGGACTGGCCTGTGGTCTTGTCCTTTGCCAGGTAGATGCGGGAGATGGAGCCAAAGGGCCGGAAGAGTTCCTGAAGGTCGGTCTCTCGTGTGTCCTCAGACAGGTTGGTGACACGGATGGTGGCATTGTCATCAGCTGGGCAAGCAAGGAGAGTCGGCTCTCAGGGAAAAGCCCCACCAGGCCACGCATGCACGTGGGATAATTACAGATGCTGGGAGGTGCCTGGCTGGCTGGCGTCGGGCATCCCCACACTCACCTCTGCGGTTAGGCTGCATGGACTCCCCACGGCGGCTGGCCCCGTCCCGTAGGCTTGGTGGCACATATTTCCCAGTCTTGCTCTGGGTGGCCTGCACTGGCTCTAGCTCTGGAGATCAAAACCACTGTCAAAGGGAGCCCCCATCCTGACACCGACTGCGGGACAAACCTGCCCAGGGTGCTGTGGTGCTGGCCCCGACTTGCCCTGGCACTGCCTGCCAAGCCACAGGCATCTGGGCTGTTCCCTCTGAGGACCAGAGCTGCAGTGGCCATGGTGACACCCAGGCAAGAACCCACAGAGGTGAGCGTGGTCTAACACACCCACAGTCACACACCTCACAGGTCCCACATACACAGCAGGTGACAGGGCACCTCATACCCAAGTCCTGATGATCAGACACAAGATCACCATCAGCAAATCATGCCATGGACACACTGAAGGACATATATTACGGATGTCAGTACACGAACATACATACATGCAAGTGTGCGCGCACACACACGCAGCAGATATGTTGTTGTTGTTGTTGTTATGTGCCGTTGAGTCGGCCCCGACTCATAGCGACCCCTCCTTGGGTTTCTGAGGCAGTATCACTACGGAAGTAGGATTGCCCAACCTTCCTTCCGAGGAGTGGCTGGTGGGTTTGAACCGCCAGCCTTCTGGTTAGCAGTCAAGCGCCTTAGGCACTATGCAGACAGATATAGGCACAATCAAATCAGGACAGGCGTTAAGTCACCAATAGAACCAGAGCTGGCAAGTCTCACGCATGTAGGCGATAACCACTGGTAGAATGGTTACGCACACACAGATGTGCATGAGGAGTTCTGACAGTTAACAGCAGGGACACTCACACCCTTTACCAAGAAGAGATAGGCACTCATTCCCTGCACTCACATCCCACCCACTGCACAAACAGGGACTGTCAGGTGACAGCCACAAAGAAGACAGCCACCAGCCAGACAGCCGGTGATGACCATGCCTCCCTGGCCAGATGGGTCCCCAGCCCCAGCACCTCCAGGCAGCTTCTCCTTCTCGCCAGTGGACAGGCCCAGCTGTTCGGCCAGCTCCTTCTGCATAGGCCCCAGGGTGTCCTTGTAGGGACAGCGGGTAGTCCAGTGGTCACCCTTGCAGATACGGCAGGACACAATTTTCTGGCCCTTGAGTTTGTTCATTGGGTCTTCCTCCTCCTGACAGTTCAGGTCCTGGTCGGGGCAGGTGCAGGCAGCTCAGAAGAGAGTTGTCATACCCTACTACTGCCAACCTGGGTACCAGCCCCATTCTGTTACCCACTTTACCTCTTTGCTGGTGATGAATGTCATGGAGACATCGTCGCTGACAGTGGTGGTGGCCACATTGGGCCCTGGTGGGTCAAACTCCGAGTTCCCAAACTTCTTCCAGTTCTGGAGTCAGGGCAGGATAGAAGACAGGTCAGGGCTCCAATGCCGGCAGACAGACCTAGAAAACCCACCCCTAGGGCATATGGGCCAAGGACCCATCATCCACCCCCCCATGTGCCCCACAAACGGTGGTAACAACTGTTCCTGTTTCCTGAGTGCATGCCGGGCCGTGGCTTCACACTAGCTCAAGAAAACAGAGGCAGCTCTCGGCCCCAGGTTCCAGATGAGAAAACAGAGGCTCTGATGGGGAAACAGCTACACAGCTGACAAGTCCTACTGGGGCCTATGCGGGCTGGTGAACTTCACTGACTCCCACTGGGGAAGCAGCGTTCAGGCGTGGTTCACAGCAGGTATGCAGGGGTCACCCCAACCATGAGAGGCCTTGAGTTAAACAACCAGAGCCTCGGCTTCCTCCCTATAAAATGAGGGCCACAAAAGGTTGCTGCTGTTGTTGTTATGTGCCAGGTGGGTTTGAACCGCCAGCCTTCTGGTTAGCAGTCAAGTGCCTTAGGCACTATGCTACCAGAGCTCCCCAAATGGTTGCTATGGGGACCTAATAACACCATATTCCCTTGGCATGGAGTCCGACACATAGAAAGTACTCAGAAAATTGTGCTGAACATATTTATTGTTATTGCTTCCAGGAGCACTTAGCCACCGTCAACGGGTGCTGCTCTGACCACTTCAGGAGGGCTTGGCTCTTTTCATCCTGGTACACAAGCGAAGAGGAAAAAGTACCTAACCCCACTAACTGCTGCACCCTGGACTTTTCAGGGCCTGTGGTAGTTAAGGTTATGTCAACTTGGCTGGGCGTGGTTTTGAGTGGCTGGGCAGGGGGATGTAGTTACATTCCCCATGGTGAGATTAGTTATCAACTCCATGGTGGAATCTACTGGAACAGCTGAGTAGCTGCCTTAGGGCTGTGGTCCGCTTCCTGTACGTGAGAAGCAGCGCTGAGAGACGGCTGCAGCTTTTGGCACGCCTGAATCCCGCACGTAGCCGAGTCGTTATTCAGCAGCCTCCCATCTTGTCTGCCAATCTTGGGACTCTTAATGGCTTGGAATCAACAGCCTGCCGTGTGGTTTGGTAATACTAGCACTGTGCCTTTTTACTTGTCAACCTTTGGTTTGTCAGCCTCAGCCGCCAACAGCTGCCTGAGTAAAGAAAGCCTCCAGCTTCAGTGGGCCAGGAGCAAGAGGCAGGGCTGAAGCCCAAGGCTGAGGGGCTTTCATCCAGCCTCTAGAGCCCAGCACTCTGAACTTGGACTCCTAGCCTCCAAAACTGTAAGAGAATAAACTTGTTTGTTGAAGCCATTCCACCTGTGGTACTTCTGTTAGCACGGCACAGGAGGACCAAAACAGGGCCCCAAGAGAGTGCAAACACCCACAGGCCTCAGTTCTGTGTCAGTAAAATAAGTAAAAATAGTTAAAACTCCACCTCAGGAAACAAAGGCACTGGGAAAAAGGACTCCCAATACCTCTGGGTCAGCACTGAGGTAGTTCCAAAAACAGGGGGAGGAGGGTCTCACCTTCCTCCTTGCGACAGCCTTGGAGGCCTTCCGGGTCTCAATCCTGAAAGTGCGGACAATCTGTGGAAGGTAGAATAGAGTTGGGCTTCCTGTGTCCCAAGGTTCCTTGGATCGCCTCACTAAGCCCATCCCCCTCCACCATTTCATCCCAGCCCAAGCGCCCCCAAGCACTAGGGCACCCACCTCCTCCACCAGCCTCACCTTGAACTTCTTCCCATCCTCGTCTATCTTATACTCAGTCACTGTCTTGATATTTCCATTGATGACCTCCTTAGGAGGTGGCAGTGGAGCTGAGAGAGAGGAAGGGTGGTGAGGGCAGCCAAGCCCTAAGCCTGGTAACAAGGATCAGAATGGGCAGGGGGCCATGGGGAGGATGCAGTGCACGTGCAGAGTGGAGGCTGTGACTCACCTCCTGGCAGAAGCTCCGGCTCTGGGCTGGTGTCACCAGTGGCCAGAGGGATCCCCTTAAGGAGCTCGCTGGTGACGCATTTGTCTGTGAGAGAGTGTGTGGGGAGGAGGGGTCAGTCTGAGGGGCCAAAGCCCAAGCTGAGATGAAGGGTACCTTTAGGATGACATCCACACCAGGAGCAGAGGAAGGCGGATCACTGGGCAAGAAGCGCCTCAGAGCAGCTGTGCAGGGGCCAGGGGCTGTTTTCATCAACCTCAGGCAGCCGCAGAGGGTAAAGGATCCCCGGGCCAGAGCAAAGACCTACAACTGTGAGCCCCACGGGCGTGTGGCATGAAGGTGGGGAGCAGGCCAGAAAGACCTCCGGGAGCTAGTACAAAGCCAGGAGACTTGGTGTTACAATCTCCTCCCCCAGAGTGTGGGAGCAGCTGTGAGAACGATCGGACGGTGGCACGAGGAAGGGGCTGGCCACTGTAAGCACCGGTAGCAAGAGGCTGAGACTGGCCCTGATAAGGGCGTCGTGGGAGCAGGGGCCGGTTGTGATGGAGGCCGTGGGGTCTGACCGCGGTGCCGCAGCGGTGGTGGTAGGGACTGGAGCAGAAGACAGTGATCGGGCTGGGGGCCGGCTGCAGTAACCTGGGGCGTACTCACCGTCCTCTCCCTCTTCCTCCACCTGGTCAGCCCAGCTGGGCTTCGAACTGCGGAAACAAGTTTACGGGGAGTGGATGGAGTCAACAATGCCGAGTTTCCAAGGCCGCGGCGCATCCCACCCCCACAAAACTCCCCCAAGCCCACAAACTGTCTCCTCGGGTTCCCCTCCGCGACCCCCACACTCACTCAAAGTCTCCCGCCGGCATTGCAAAATCTTATCCACGCAGCTCTGGCCCCGGCCAGAAAGCGGAAGTGGAAGGAGAACAAGACTTCCGGTTCCGCCGCCTAGAGCAGCCCGACTGCTTACCCCACAGCGCCCCCTGCGGAAGGAGGCAGAGACGCCGACTACGTGCGTTACTGGGCGTTAGTACCTAGCGGGAGTCAGGTTGGACAGGGGTGTGTCTCAGGATTTATGTAATCTACTTTTTACTAAAAGGTGAATTTTAAATAATAACAACAAAACCCATTTATTGAGCGCATACTGTAGGCCAGGCACTGTGAGTAGGATTTCCATTTTATTGCCGAAAAAAACAAGACTTAGAGAGGTGAGAGGGTCTTTGCTGAGGCCGTTCCCTTTGCCTGCGCTGTTCTTTCTTTTCTAGGAGGGCTTTCCTGATTGCGACGTTTAGGCTTCTTCAACCAGTCTCCTTTGTTTTCTTTGTAGCATTCTTAGCTCTTGGTAACAACTTGATTCATTTACTTGTTTATCCCTCTAGTACAGACATTCTCAATGAGAGAAATAGTGCCTCTTATGGGGCGGAAATTGGTTCTCTAGAGTAAAAAGCCTGTTAGGTTCCCTCAAGATAATAGAATTAAACACTGCCTGGTCCACCATCCTCACAAGCATTGCTAAGTTTGAGCCCATTGTTGCAGCCACTGTGTCAATTCATCTAATTGAGGATCTTGCTTTTTCACTGACCTAGCTACCCAGCATGATGTCCTTCACCAGGGTTTGGTGACTCCTGATAACATCTCCAAGATGTGTGAGACTAAAGTCTTGCTGTCCTTACTTCTAAGGAGCATTCTGGCTGTTCTTCCAGGACAGATTTGTTCCTTCTTCTGGCAGTCCATGGTGTTCTCAATATTCGTCACCAACACCATAATTCAAATCAATCAACTCTTCTTCCATTTTCCTTATTCATTGTCCAGCTTTTGCATGTATGTCAGGCAGCCGAAAATACCATGGCTTC